TCTATAATAATTTCTTTTAAAAAAATTTTAGGAAATTTATAAAATTATATTATATTAATAAAATTGATTTTAAAAAATCATCAAATATATGCATCAATAAATGTGAAAAATACATATACAATTATTAGAATGCTTTTTATATAAAAAATTTCAAAATTTTTTTATATAGTAATGCTAGTTTCTCATTAAGTTTCTAGGAATAATATTTAGCAAATTTATTTATAAAAATTGATTAATTTTAGGATAAATAATATAATTTCAGTTATGTTGATATTGCGTAGTTTTTGCATCTCATATACATATGCAGTTCCATAATTTATTATTAAATTTATTCAATTGACAAGATCAAAATTTATATGATTTCTATCAATCTCGATGAGAATACACTTGTAAGTGGCATTTAACGATAATTGACAATAAGCATTAAAGTACTTCATATCTAAAGTAAGTAAATTAAAGTTCCATCAAAATCGCGGCAATTCTTTTTGATAATATAATAATATGTAATATATTCATAATTATGAATAAGTGCAAAGTTTTATTGATCGCATTCCACAAATATAATATGTTTATTTTGCAAGTTGTTGGAAATTTTCTTCGTGTTGATTAGATTAATACTTTTAATTCTAGAAGGAAATATTTTCTATTTCAACCACAGCGAAGAAAATTTCCAACTGTTGTAAAATAAACATTCTGCTGAACGCGGCTGTGTATATGTATGTATGTACAAGTGCATGTATCAAGATATTCGGGAGTGTCATATCACCGATATGTGAACACCAGTGAATGCTGTAGACGGCGCGGCGTCTTGATTTCTTCACATTTACAGCATGATCTCTACGCGATAATTGAAGTAGATGCGTAAAACGTATCGTGCGGATTAAGTGACGACCGAATCAGGAAAGATCCGCAGGAACTTTCAGTTTATCAATAACGGTACTTCATCGTTATTCTCGTTGGTAAATATCCTGGACACCGGTGTTACGAGAGGTTACGTCTCCGCGAGCGGGACAAATGAATCGATTGTGGTAGTGGGAACAGAAAGATAAGGGATCATGTCAAGAAAGTGGTTGTCGAATTTCGCGCTAGCCGGTACCATCAGATTGCTGATAATGAACTCCGAGTACCAAAAGATCATCGGTAACCGTGTCGAGGTGTCGACTGCCTTAAACTCCTGGAAGAGAGGTTAGTCGGATCATGCTTCGGTACATCCTTCAATCATAGGAGCATAGTTTTGTTTGCGATTATGTTCGACTGCTTTTCTATTTTAAATTAAAATATTAACACCCTCAGAATTGTTGATATTTATTTTCTATTATTTAACTCTTTCTGGAGCGTGTCTATCGGATCCACTAAGTACATAGTGATCATTTGAATAATAAATATTCTGATAGTAGAGTAAAACTAATTCAACTTTCTCTGAAGTAATGTTAATAGATAATAAAAATATTTAAATATATAAAAATTCATAAAAATAATAAAATAATAAAAATACATTATATTTGAATTTATTACTACTAATTTTTAATTCTTGTATCTTGTACTATTGAAGTAATTATAGTTTTATACAAAAATGTCAAACAATTCAATTTTCTTTACATTATATTTGCAAGTTTGAATTATTATTATTAAAATAAGTTTTCAATAAATTCTTTTTTATACAAGTTATATTTTTATACAAGTTATTCGTTTTTGATTTCTTGAAATTAATTAGTATCAACATAAATTAAATAGGACACAGCGTCAATAATTGTATCAGATTAGATTTTGAGGATTAAATATTGTTTTAATTAATTAGGAACAGATCAGTTTCATAATCATGAAACTTAATATGTTTTTGAATTTTCAGTAACCGAAGGAGTTTATCTGCATAAATTTGGCATAGACCCATACGAGGGAGATCTATTTCACGAGACTCCAATTGGCTTATATGTGTTCACTCTGATGCAGGAATACTTACCTCAATGGGCATTATTTCTACTATTTGTTGTCGTTGACTTAACGACTGCCCTGTGCCTCGCTCATGCAGCAAAACATTACGCATTTGAATTGGTCAGTACAATATTGGAATTTAAATTTGTCTAGTTTAAAATCTTTTTGATAAAAGTGGTACTTATTTCAACTTAAATTACAGACAATGAAAAAGAAAGAGGAAAAGGATGAGAAGGAGCTTAGTAAAGATGTTCCCAACACGTCTGCTCTGTACGTTTCCACAGCATATCTATTTAATCCATATATAATACTAAACTGCATTGGCCTAACAACTACGGTTTTTACTAATCTACTTTACTCAATCGTGCTGGTGTCAATGACGAGACGCTCTGTGCTTTGGAGTTGCGCAACGATAGCGTTATTAACATTGCAAGGACTCTACCCCATGTCACTTATGGTACCGGCAACTATTTACGTCGCTACTACGGCGAAGAACAGAAAAATCAGTATTGTTACGATGCTAATTGTATTTACGAGCATCCTGGCAATCCTATTTGCTGTTTCTTATTGTATCATGGGAAGCTGGTCTTTCTTATGGAGTACCATTGGTTTCATTCTAACTGTTCCGGACTTACGTCCGAATATCGGACTGTATTGGTACTTCTTCACAGAAATGTTCGAGCATTTCAGATGGCTTTTCATCGCATCTTTTCAGATAAATGTCAGTTTATTGTACATAGTCCCTCTAGCGCTACGGTTGCGACGTGATCCAATGTTACTGGCATTTTCCTACCTGGCGATAGCTGCCATATTCAAATCTTATCCATGCATCGGAGACGTGGGTTTCTATATATCTCTACTGCCGCTGTGGAAACATTTGTTCCAACGTGAGTTTAATTCATGATATTCTTATTGTATTATTGAGAACGGTGCGAATTATTCTAATACGTTTTTTTTTAGATATGCAACAAGGATTCATTGTAGGTTGTTTTTTACTGTTTTGCACGGTCTTTGCCCCAACTGTGTGGCATCAGTGGATCTATTCTAGGTCAGCGAACGCCAATTTTTACTTTGGAGTAACACTGGCGTTCGCCATAGCACAAATCTTCCTTCTGACGGATATCTTATTCGCCAGCGTAAAATACGAGTTCGCAGTTCAGCACGGTATCGATAAGAAAATTAATGGGAATGAGGCTAAACTGCTACTCGAGTAAAATAGGCTTTTTTTAGAGCGAAATGTACAATACCCTGCCGATGAACAATGATAAGTGATACATGTCTTTGAATCATTGCCATGTGAAAAAAATAAATAGTTTTTTACAAAAAAAGTTTGTCTTTATTTTGATCGATTAATACATACATTTATTTTTGGTTAAAACACTTATAATATCACAATACAAACTTTCTTTTAAAACTTGCTTACCTCTAAAATATATATTGAAACAATTTAATAATTTATAGTTAAAACCATATACGTATTCATGATTAAAAAGATCAAGAATTTTTTACACACTTCATTTTCAAATTACATAATCGATATATAAAAAAATCATATATAAAACTCTACTATAAAATTATTATGGTAATAATTATTATACATTAATTACATTCCTATAGTTCTATACTTGTAAAAATATTTTATAATTTATTTTTAATTAAATATTTTAATTATTTTAATTAAATATTTGATATGAGCATACTTATTATAATGCTTCCGAAAATATCTATTTTAAAGAAAATATTTCACTTAAATGTATGACTACGATCCATTTTAATGCTATAAGTGCTTGGAAGCATTGATAATGCCAAAAAGACATATCTAATATAGTTGACTTATAAAACAATTATTATATCGGAGATGTATACATATTAAGTCATATTTAACTTTAAAACTTCATAATACTGACATTTTTCAATACTTTAAATTATTTTAAATTATTTGAAGACAATGATGGAATTATTTTGAACTTTTTTTTCGAACAAAGTCTTTATTCTTAATAATTAATTTAAACGACATATTTATTTTATTAAGTAAATTAAGTATTCTGTGTGTAAAATCTCTGTTGCTTGTATCCGAGCTTGGCGACTTCTTTCATATATCTGTGCGCATCACGCTCAGACACACGAGCAATAGAGATTTTATACGCAGAATACTTAATTTACTTAATAAAATAAATATGTCGTTTAAATTAATTATTAAGAATAAAGACTTTACATTACCAAAAAAAGAAGTTCGAGATAGTTCCACCATTGTGCAGAGTACTTTATTTTATACATAATAATATAAATATGCCGTTTAAATTAATTATTAAGAATAAAGGCAACAATTAAAAACAATAATATTTAACTGTTTCATACTTAAAATAACTCCTTTTTTTAGTAACTTTAAGCCTTTATTTTTAATAATTAATTAAAAATAATGCAACAATTAAAAACAATGATATTTCAAACAGTTAAATGTACAATACATTTTGCATTCGAAATGTGCAATCAATGCCCATTAAAAATCTACATCAATCGTTATTTTTAATCAATCCTTAAAGTCAAGCTTTCCATTTTACGTACAAGTACATCAAATAATGCTTCCGTTTTTCTTTTTTCTTTCTGCTCGGTAACGATTAAGTTTGTTGATGTACCGCTATCATTACATGAATAAGTTTGAAGATTGCCCATTAATTTTGCTATTTTACAGTTCTTTTTTAACGGTAACTGTTTAAACGGAATATATCCATTGTGCTCTTTACAATAGTCCCATAATAGTTTCCAATGTTCGTTTTTGCATAGTATATTTGGATTTCCTATTATTATAGTAAGTGCTTTTGCACGTGTTAAAGCAACATTAAATCTCTGCAAAGAATGTATATAATTTTTTATATTATATATATAATAGAACATAAAATAATTTTTATAAAATTATGTATAATTTTATAAAATTTAGGATGATGTATGGCTTTATGTAAGCCAACAATTACTTATTATTGATCTCAAATCTGATCTTGATTCATTTATGTATAGTTTTGAAAGTTGATTAAATTATTAGCATAGGAAGTGAATCGTAACCCCATTAAAATAGAAACTCATATATTATCTACAAGTAATTGGTATATAAACATTTCTTCTGTTTTATATGTAAAATTGGTTTATATAAATATATAATATTAGTATATGCACAACAAATATGACATAAAATGAAATTATAACAACTGTTGGGATGTCGTGTGACTTCGTGTGAGAGCAACGGATTCGTAACTGACAAGTCGCGAGTTCTCGCATCCCACATATATGGAAAAAATTCGTAATAAAAAATATTAATTTACAGAATAACTTTTTAAATCTAGATGACTGAGTAAGTTCAGACATAATGGTGTCACTCATCTCTCATGATTATTACTTCTATAACTATTAATGCTCTAATTTGATAGTACATGAAATCAATAACATACCTTTGGATTGGACAAGAAACCAATGTGCTCTTCGCTATCGTGTTTGAAGAGTTTTGATCGTGCCGTCGATAATATTATCACATTTCGTTCTTGTCCTTGAAATGTTTCAACTGTTCCCACAGTTATATCTTTATAATTCATAGCTGTCAAGTAATGTTTAATGTGCAGCTGTTGTCGTGTAAAAGGCGTTATGATCCCAATATCCTTCTGTGTTATCGCGTGTGTCTTAAATTTGGTATTCATCAGTATATCTATGTATATTAATACCGACAGTACTTCGGCTGTGTTATAGACACTGCAAATATGTTTATACAATATCAAGTAAACATAAAGGTATATAAGTATTAGGTGTAGTAAAAAAATCCATTATTTTTCCATTCAATTTCATACAAAAATAATGGATTTCTTTTTACTACACCTAATATAAAATAGATAATTATACAAAATCAAGTGTGAATTTAAAATAGAAAGATTGTGGAAGAGTTGTGGAACTTTGGTTATTAATAAGTATATAAAAAAGTTTACAAGTCGGAAATTCACTTCGGAAAGAGAAAAGATCAATTTGATCAAATAATTTTTACTATCGCTAATCAATCTTTAAAGTTTCGAAATTTTAAGTAAAATTATGTACTCGATGAGGCTCGAGGATAGTAAAAATCCGATCGAACTGATCTTTTATACATGTTAGTATTAAGATTCCACAATTTTTCCGCAATCTCTCTAATTCAAATATAATCTCAAATTCATACTTTTGATTTTTTCGATATACTCTATTTAAAATTTCTCAGATAAACTAGGATAACTGTCCATATTACTATGTCCATATCTATTAGTGCCTTTGTACTTAAATAAGAAAATAAAGAACATAAAGAAAATTAGCACAAAAAAAAAGATATATTTTTTTATTAAGTTAAATTATTAACGCATATGATACCAAAGACAATATTCTATTTTTTAATCATTAATACAACAAACATTTTTCGAAAGATATATATTTAAACGAATTTATATAAAATCGAGTAATATTACAAGATTTTAAGCTGATTCCTATTAGGATGCTCTGTATTGGAACTGAGAGCGTTGTGTTACGAGTATACATTGAAATTGTAATTAAAATAATGATTTATGCAATATTAACTTAAACAATTAGCATACATCTATTATCTATTTTAATAACTCTATATTAAAATGAATCAAATATAAGTACAAATAGATACATTAATAAGGCCTCTTTTTGGAAGGACACAGTAACAAGGACAAAAATATTGTCTTTATTACAAAAATTATTAATATATTTATTATAAAACATTAACTTTTTTTTTAGATTAAAAAATATTTTAAAAACTGAAATAACTGAAGAACTAATATTGATTCAAGTAAATAAAAATCAAGCTATAATATAATATTTATAATATAATATTTAATAATTAATTCAATAATGAGCAAATTTTGACTTAAAGCACACTAAGAGGGACAGTTGCCCTAATTATAAAAAATGAAGACTTCTGAATAGTCTCTATGATTGTATTGGATTGTGACATTATAAATAGGAAATGAAATGTTGAAGTTTCTTGCATGCCATTTATAAATAAAGACTAAGAATTAATATGGTCGCAATGACTACTCAGAAGTCTTAAATCCTGCTTTAAGACAATTGCAATAATACTTATATAGTTAAATATATATCAACCTTAGAGATTCACATCTTTGTTCTGTGCCTAATACTTCTTGAAATATCATGGGAAATTTTTTATTGGGCAACTGCGACCAGTTTAATGCCATTTGCGTATTAGCTCCTCCACAGAACTTCAATTCGTCGTTATAAAATAATTTATTTGACATATATAAAAGATTTTCGTGACTACGATAATTTTTAATTAATTTTGTTATGTAGTTCGGATTATATTTTCCATCCTGCATTTTATACGGATCACAATCATTCATTAATCTTTCTAACATGGATCTTCCTGTTAGAATAATAATAATAGTTAAAAAAATGCAATATAGATTATATGGCATAAATGGTAATACCATTTATTATCAATAGAAAAAAACTTACCGAGCAAACGCTCAATTCTCCTGCAACGAATTACAGGTCCTAATTGATAAGGATCGCCTGCGATAACAATTTGTGCTTGAAATCCGATCTCTTCATCTTCAGCTTGATTTGTTATTGCGAGAGGAATTAACATATCTGGTTCAGTTGCTTGACTTGCCTCGTCAATAATTATGTAAGAAAAATGATTCTTCCGGAAATTTTCATCAATCAATCTATAATAAATAGTATGAGATATTATACAAGGTGAGACACAAACAAAACTGGATCTCGAAAATTAAATACGATAGGGAAAAATGTTTCAAACAAAAGTTATATGATTCAAAGGGGGACAAATAATGAAATTATTAAAAAAAAAATCGATTTTTCCTCATGAAGATATCCATTTTTTTTTAATGAAAAATGGTATATTTTTTTACACAATGTGGTTCCTCTAATTATTCTATATATGAAAGTATTGAGGTAATGATATAAAACAAACCAATAGTTTACGAGATATGTTATACTTTATTGTGGCACATTTTGATATAAAATATTAAATAACTTGTAAATTTAATTTTTTTATAATCGTACCTTAATACTTTTATGAACAGAATAATGAGATGAATTGGTGAAAAAAAAACACATAGTAGTTTAAAAAGTATCCATTTTGCATACATATTTTTTTAAAGCAACTACGTGTTTTAATTCATCTTATTAAATTATTAAGATACAATAAAAGTATTAAGGTATGATTATAAAAAAATTAA